GGCTAGCCGCTTCCGGCCTAGCGCAGCCAGCCAGCGGACGGTCTTGGCAGGAGTCGTCAGCTTTTGTGCTGGTGGGCTTAGGTATGCGGGTTTCCGCGCGGAAGCTGCTGAGTCAGGGCTTTTCTCTCGGGATTTGCTGTTCTCCTGGCTACTTGTACGGCAATCCCACCCATCCATCCATATATGTACAGATTATACACATATGCATATACGCATATACGCTGTATACATAAGTACTCCGCGACTCCTTGCCACAGGCAAGCCCTTGAGCTGCGGTGATCAGGCAAACTAAAGAACGTCACGTAGCCCGGGAGCCTACCTCGGTATGAGGCAACGTAGCCTCTCCCTCTCGAACCTTAGGTCGGACACAGGAAGCCGATGGAAACAAATGGCATCACGATGTACGGAGTACTCCGTAGCCACAACTCTGTCCTCCTCACATCTGGAGTTACACTTTCTCTTGAACCTTCCTTATCACCAGCCACAGCTCTATCGACAACCAGCCTCACGCTAAACCCAAACCCAAATCCCCCGTCGATCGCGCTCTGTCTTTGCACCCAACCCAACACCCAACACAGAAACCTTTCTTCACTCCTCTCTTTCTCTCTCTCTCTCTCTCTGCGCTTCCTAGCAAGCAAGATCACCGACAGAGCAGCCGCCTCCGACATGTATCCAGACTCCCAATCAAGGGGATAGAATATACTCCGTACTTACGCTTAGTAGATCGTCTCCACGTATTGTATTGTGGTTTTGAGTGATCTGCAAATCCATCCGCATACAGCTTAGTGCCCCTCCCCATCCCCTGGAAGTGAGCTTCGGTTTTTTTTTTCGGTTTTTTTTTTTTTTTTTTTTTTTTTGCTTTTTCCTTCCCATTTCGTCCTTGTAGGCTGCCCGTGATATTTTTAGAGCGTGTGCGGGGCACAGATCTGTATATACGTATCTGTATCTGTATCTGTATCTGTCTACGGAGGACAGGGGAGTCTGGCACTCATTCGTAGATGGGATGGGATGATAACAGTCCTCCTCCAGGCTGCGGGGGCTCCCTTCGACGAGTGCCTGCCATTCATAAGGTTCTTCCCTCGGTTTTCTGATTTTTGATCAACCAGGGAAGATGTAGGAAGATGTAGGAAGAGAGAGGAGAAGAAGGAGAAGAAGAAGAAGTAGAGGAGGAGGACAAAAAGAGTTCCCGGAGACAAGAGTTCCCACGATTACGTGGCTCGCCGCTGGGTCGGGTTACGATACCATACAACACCTCCGTACAGAGCGTGTACGCAGCGTACGATACCATACACAGGAATACCACAACTTCTCCATCGTGGAACGAGCGACGCGTCGCCGTCTCGGAGAAAAATACCATGGATACCATGATTCCCATCATACAACAGCGGTGTTTTTCCGTTCCTAAGTCTCATTCGTTCCTCTCTCCCTCCCTCTCTCTCATCGTTTCCCGTTTCGGGCGTTGAGAGTACGAGCCATGCGTGTATACTCTCAGCTATGCAGACCTTCCATCGCATATCCATTCTGGGACCCCCGCGCGGAAAGACAGCAAGAGAGCAAGAGAGCAAAGAGAAAAAGGCACAGACAACTAAGACAGACGGAATCCCGTCCGATCCCCCCGTGGCAAGGCAGGGGATGGATCATGTTGACGTTGCGTCCATTGCGTGCCTTGCGTCCCTCACGCAACACCCGAGTCGCGGCCAGCGGTGGATATAGGGATATATGTACATACATGTACATAATACATCCCCACTTCCCTTGCCCCCTCCCCCCCCCCCCCCCCCAACCTTTGGCTCGAATCATTACTTAATCCAAGTTGTTTTTTTCCCTGGAACCTGAAGGAAGGAAGGAAGGAAGGAAGAAAATATTATATATTATATATTGGCCTATGGATGTATCCATGTTCCTTCAACCGGAAACATACATACATACGCACGCGACGCATGGCCCTAGGGCTTGGGCTTGGGCCTGGGCTTGGGCCTGGGCTTGCTTGTTACGCCCTTTTGTCAATAAATCTATCTATCTATCTATCTATCTATCCGCGCCGGTGGGATGGGATGGGATGGGATGGGATGGGACGTCAGACCGACCCGCCGCGGTGGCCGCTGGGGACTTTCATACCTTGCACATCACCGTCGTGGTCGTCGTTACGTGATGGCTGCCCCACGCGCGCGGGGGGGGGGATAATTATGACGCATTATCCATCGGGCGGACGGACTGGTGGGATATGATATGATATGATATTGCAACGCGCTTTTGCTTTGCTTTTGCTTGTTGGCGAGCAGTGCGCGAG